AGAAAAGCTTCTCCCGGTCTCCCTGGTCTGCTGGGGGGGTCCAGCAAAGCCGCTTGTTTGCCCGGGAACTTTGCTCGTTTGCCCGGGAGCAAAGCCGCCCAGGCAGCGGAACCCTCCCCAGCAGACCAGGCTTTTGTTGCGGGACACCTCGGGTAGAGCAGCTGGGGTGCTGCCGGGTTGGTCCTGTGGGAACCTACCGGGCAGCGCCCCAGCTGTTCTGTCCCAGGCTCTAGATTCAGCAGCCGTTGAAACTGATCAGGCTGATTCCAGGAAGCTGGGGGCAGAGCAACTCTGCCTCCGGCTTCCTGTAGTCAGCCCCTGGTCAGTTTCAGTGGCAACAGCTGAATCTGGAGCCAGTTCCGACTTACATACAAATTCAACTTAAGAACAAACCTATAGTCCCTATCCTGCACGTAACCCGGGGACTGCCTGTACACAAACTACTAGCTGAAAACTTGTTACCTAATCCTACTTGACCCAAGTAAGTGGTTCATGATTTTGCCACTTCACCCAAGAACAAAAACCTATAAAATTATTCTCAACATGCTGCCTGTCAGCACAACATTGTCCCAAATGGAGAGAAAAGGTCATTGTATTTTCTTCTCTGATTATAAGGGATAACTGCCAGTTTTTAAATAATGAGAAAGCATAAGACAATGTTTGACTAGGGAAACTGTCAGATTAAATACAGTATTTCAAGAGAGGCAGTGTTATCCAGTCAGTATATTGAACACAGGACTGAGATCCAGGATTATCCTAGTTTAATGTTCTCTGTTCCATGTTGGGCTTGTCATGTAGCTTCTGTAGGTCTAACTAGGGATTTTAAATTTCAGTTAATCAGCTAATCGAGTAGTCAATGGAATTTTATGTCAAACCAATCTCCTAGTTCTCTTTGATAGGAAATCGAGCCTTGCGGATAAGGGAGAAGTGATGGATGTGGTATACCTAGACTTTAGTAAGGCATTTGATATGGTCTCACATGACCTTCTTAACAATAAACTAGGGAAATACAACCAAGATGGGGCTACTATAAGATGGGTGCATAACTTGCTGGATAACCCTTCTCAGAGAGTAGTTATTAATGGTTCACAATCCTGCTGGAAGGGCATAACAAGTGGGCTTACACAGAGGTCTGAGTTGGGACCAGTTGTGTTCAATATCTTCCTCAACGATTTAGATGAGGACATAGAGAGTATGATTATTAAGTTGGCAGATGATACCAAGCTGGGAGGGGTGGCAAGTGCTTTGGAGGATAGGGTCAAAATTCAAAATGATCTGGACAAACTGAAGAAATGGTCTGAGGTAAACAGGATAAAGTTTTTAAGGACAAATACAAAGTACTCCACTTAGGAAGAAACAATCAGTTTCACACATACAGAGGGGAAAGTGACTGTCTAAGGAAAGAGTACTGTTGAAAGGAATCTAGGGGTCACAGTGGACCACAAGTTAAATATGAATCAACAGGTGACACCCATGCAAAAAAAGCAAACAAGATTCTGGAATGCATTAACAGGAGTGCTGCGAGCTAGACACGAGAAGTCATTCTTCCACTCTATTCTGTGCTGATTAGGCCTCAATTGGAGTATCGTGTCCAGTTCTGGGCACCACATTTCAGGAAAGATGTGGCGAAATTGGGGAAGGTCCAGAGAAGAGCAACAAAAACGATTAAAGGTCTAGAAAACACAGCCTATAAGGGAAGACTGAAAGAATTGGGCTTGTTTAGTTTAGAAAAGAGAAGACAGAGGGGACATGATAGCGGTTTTCAAGTATCTAAAACATGTTACAAGAAGAAGAAGAGAGAAAATTTGTTCTCCTTGCCCTCTGATGATAGGACAAGAAGCATTGGGCTTAAATTGCAGCAAGTGAGATTTAGGTTAGACATTAGGAAAGCTTCCTATCTTTCAGGGTTGTTAAACACTGGAATAAATTGCCTAAGGAGGTTGTGGAATCTCCATCACTGTAGATATTTAAGAGCAGGTTCGATAGACATCAGGGATGTTCCAGACAGTGCTTGGTCCTGCCGAGAGGGCAGGAGACTGGATTTGATGACCTCTCAAGGTCCCTTTCAGTTATAGTATTCTAGGATTCTATAGCCGACACAAACTGTATCGACTATACGATTAGCTCGGTAACTGCAATTTAACATCCTTAGTATAGCCAGAGTGGTAAATCAGACCTGAGAGTTCAGCAATGGACCCAGTCCCAGAAACCTTTATTAATGAGAGTGAGTATCCCCACTGACTTCAACAGGGCTGCTCAAATGCAAAAGTCTTTATAAGATTGAACTGTAACCTCAATAATGTGAAATATTTGCTCTCTCAACAGAAAACTTAGGAAGATTTAAAAAAAAAATCCAACCCCTGCTATTTTTTTTACGTATATGTTTGTTCTTAACTTCAGAGAAACCCTTCCCACTTACAGGATTGGGGCCCATATTAGTAAACTGAAAACATTACCTCAAGATCAGCATGTTGCTGTAGTGCTTGTACCATCTTCATAGTGTTTTCTAGAGTAGCATGAATACAGCTTATAGATTCTCTTTGCTCTATGGAAATTTCTTTCAGCTGTGCACATAACATTCTATAACGTGACTTCATCACTGAGAGTTCCTTTAATAGAATCACTGGATTTTCCTACATCAAGATGAAAAATATCTTTAAATTAACAAGACATAGGACAGATGATCTATTGGCTACACATAAGACTAAATATAGATTAGATGTTCCCAAAGTATATGGCAACTAGAGCTGTTAAAAGTAATTGAAAGACACTTTATAGTAGAAGTCATTAACTACAGTCTTTTTATGAGTAATGTGGTACTGTTGATGTCTTTCATGTTTTGGAAACTCTTACTCCACCTACCTGTATCACTCTTACTCCACCTGCCTTTTCATAGACAAACAAATTGTAATAAACCACTAACTCTCTGCTTCCACAGAAGATACAGTAGTATGAAGATACTCTGTTTTGGTACTTTATTGCCTTATTAATTTTCCTAAGTTAGAATGTATGAGTCATCTCTTATAAAAATCAATGTTCTTTTTCACTGAATTTGAATATATGGGATAGACAAGGAAACATTAACAAAAATGCTAGCAATGATAATGTATTATATCCCCTTTACCCTTTTTCTGTCTCCCATAACCCCCTGAATCTAGTCATCATTTATTGGCTGATTCATTGCAAGTGTCATAGCAGAGGACACCTCTTCAGAAGGGTGTTGAAGTTGACAGTGCCACCTAACACTCAAGCTGATTTCTGAAAATACAAGTATGCAGCATTCCATTATACCAAGATATGGTTATTTTGAAATAAATTTACATCAACAGTGCTGGCATGTTGAAAAAAAAATATAATACAAAAGCAAAAACTAAGACCAGACATTTTTATATATAGCAATTAAATGTTTTGGGATTGAAGAGAATTACCCATTTAATTAAATTAGTTAATTTGTGCAAGACACAGGCCGTTCTTACTCTAAATCCACAATATGGTTCCAAAAAACTTGGACTTATAATGAAACAACTTAAAGTGGGGAATTTTCCCCGTGGCGGATTTCCATTTGCGCAAATTGGGTTGTTGTTTTTTTTGCATGTGCGTGCGACTTAAGAGTGGGGAATAGGAGGACTTCTCATGTATCAGTTCCTACAAGTGTCAATGACTTTAGTGCAGAATAGATGTATACTGGGGTGACTTAGAGTGGGGACTCCCTGTACAACAAAATATAAAATCTTAATCTGATAATAGTACCTCTGCTGATGGATTATCAGGAAGATTTTTCATTATTTCAAATTCCAATTTGTGTTGAATGTAATCCAGATCAGATTCTGCCTTCTGAAACTAAAACATTGAAGATCAACCACAATGTATTAAAGAATAAAAACACAGATTAAAAAAAAGCACACAGACATCTATCACTCTTCCCTGCACTTAAAAACAAAAAGCAAAATAAAACCCAGAATTCAAGATGTTTCAGTCTGAAAGGCTGGATGTACTACAAGCAAGAAGCTGTTCCGTCCTCAACTAAATCCACTTATTAATGTTTGTTGGTTATTGCATAATAACATTCTTGTATAAGGAGAGGACACTTGAAGACTCTTTATAGTCAAAGTAATTAAATGTACACAGCCTTAAAACAATTAGCTAGATAAGAACTTGGCAGGCAATGAGAAGTAGTGGCCAAGAAGGTACTTAAAAACTTACAAGAGCAGATAATGCAAGGAAATGCTGTTGACTATTTGACAGTAGAGCTCACAGCTTTTCACAGTGAGAGTGTTACATATTATACACATTAAGTCCCTGTTGCAATATATAGTTTAGACAAAAGGAAAATAGTGACCCAGAATTGAGAGGGTAAATTAAAAACTTGTACCTCAGTGAAACCAAGTAAAGTGAAACATTTTAAGGCTTTTTATAAGTCATGCATTCCTTTGTGGTAATATCTCTTTGGGTGCACTCTACAACATGTATAATACACCATGTATCCCATGCTGTACCATACAGAACTAATTGAAAAGCAATTCTCAAAACAGGAGAGCATTTTTTCCCCAAAACATTCTCTAAGGACGTATCAGCTGCAATCAATATTACTTATTTGTAATTTGAGTTTAATGAAAGCCTATTTCTTCCATTGAGCTGCAGGAGTTCTAAAGGACAAACATACTTTAAACATAAAAATAGGTTCCTCACTTGTAGTTTTTACTTCTACAACTAGGACCATCTGCTCTGGCAAATACTTTTGGGAATGGTGAAGGAGGATGAAAAGAGGAGAAAAACAACCACAATTAGCTACATTATCCAGAGAAACCCTCAAAACAGGCAGTCCCAAACAGGCAGGAACAAAGTTTCCTTATTCACCTCTCTGGTCTTTGATTTTATTGTAATGCATGGAATTTAGATCTAACTGAAGTGCTTTGTATGAAAAAAAAAAAAAAATCATAGGCTACGTCTACACTGACATGAATTTCCGAAAATGCTTTTAACGGAAAAGTTTTCCGTTAAAAGCATTTTCGGAAAAGCGCGTCTAGATTGGCAGGATGCTTTTCCGCAAAAGCACTTTTTGCGGAAAAGCGTCTGTGGCCAATCTAGACGCGGTTTTCCGCAAAAAAGCCCCGATCGCCATTTTTGCGGAAAACAGTACTATGCTGTCTACACTGGCCCTTTTGGGCAAAATCTTTCGGAAAAAGACTTTTGCCCGAATGGGAGCAGCATAGTTTTTCCGGAAAAGCACTGATGATTTTACATGCGATCGTCAGTGCTTTTCCGGAAATTCAAGTGGCCAGTGTAGACAGCTGGCAAGTTTTTCCAGAAAAGCAGATGATTTTCTGGAAAAACTTGCTAGTCTAGACACAGCCTTATAGTATTTGAGGAACAAGAATACAGAGATCATCCGACTGCTTGCAAAGCCAGAGAACAGAATTTCCTTTCAGTTGCCTCTGATTAGGAAAATATGAAATCAGGAAAATATGAAATCAGGAATGGTTAGATTTATGTTTAGTTGTGTTCAAAGTAGTTTCAAGAGTCCTGTCAACAGCTGGTCTAGGATGCTGTTATTCCAGAATCCTCCAATGGTTTGGAATATCTCAACCAACCAACCAACCAACCAACCAACCAACCAACCAACCAAGAAGGTGGCTTGACAACCACCTTGTCTGGAAAAAACTTCAGGAAAATTCTTTGCCAAAGAGCTACTGTATCAGTAAACCCTCTTAGCTGATACAGTGGCTCATGGGAAAGAGATCGGAGATTAAGGATATGGCAGTTTTTCTACTGCAGGTTTAAAAGCTGTGCCTTTTCCAGAAATACCCCCATTGAGGTTTCATTACATGATCTTGGATTTCTGAAAGGGGACTCCTTCTGAGAAAATGCAAACTGGAAACAAAGTAGGGAGATTCAAAAGAAAAACCAAAGGAGCTGGGAGCACTGTACTTTATGCTAGTGGTTCTAAACCAGGGGTATGTGTACCCTTAGGGTTACTCAGAGATCTTCTTGGGAATGCATCAACTCTTCTAGAGATTTGCCTCATTTTACAACAGGCAGCCAGTATAAACCAAAAATTTATAGACAGTTATTTGTTTATACTGCTCTGTACACTGAAATGTAATTATAATATATTATATGGTAAAAGTGAAAAAATGAGCAATTTTTCAGTTTTAGTGTGCTGCAACTTATTTTTTATGTGTGATTCTGTAAGCACGTAGTTTTTAGGTCAGGTGAAACTTGGGGGTACACAAGACAAAAAAAAAAAGAGACCCAGACTCTTGAAAAGGGTACAGTAGTCTAAAGGTGAAATCCACAGCTTTGTGAGCCAGTTGGGGTGAAATCCTGACACTGCTGACATCAGAGTTTTGCCATTATCATCAAAAGGGGCCAAAATATTACGCTTTCACTTTGCAAAAATTCAGGCTGATTTCATATGAGAATTATTCAGTAGAAAGTCTTTCATAACACACTTCTGGGTGTTCAGCCCACATCCACTAATCGCAGAAGTGGTGACCTGAGTTCCAGATATTGAAACAAAAGTTGTATATCCACAGGTATTCACTCATACAGTAGGCCTACAGTAATTTGTTAACTTTGTTTTTCTGATACAGCAGATTTTGAAGGTTCTAGGGATGATTTCTCTGTGAGAACTTACTTTGTCAGATAACTCCTTTCTTCTTACAGTAGTTATGATAATTTTCCAAACAAACAATGGCAGAGAGAATGGTTTTTCAATTCCAACTAAAAAGTCATAGAAATGAGTGACTGAAGTCAGTGAGATGCTGGTGTTTATTCCAGGAATTTAAAATTTAACATGTAGTAGATGTTCATAGGTTGATAACTTCTCCCACAATAGTACTATTTGTAGAAGCATACTTCCTAGTTTTTTGGATTATTTTGGTGAAGTTAGAGGTTTATATGTTACAATAGATAGCCCTTGTTCTACATTTTTTTAAAAATTTAGATTTAATGAAATATGAAAGTAAGACTTCTATTCCCTATCACTTCCACTGAACATTTCAAAGTTCCAAGAATTTCTTGTACGAGATAACCTATTGCAATTCTCCCATTGATACAAGGAAAATGTTGGAAATTTCAGCTGAAGTTAAAGTATTAACAGTTTCTATTTTATACAGACAAGATGCATTGTAAATGTTTTTGATTCTTTAAAGTACATTTTATGTTATTGTCAGTTCAACAGCCTTTCATTATATGCAGAAAGCAATCACAAGGGCTTTTCTGTAACCTTTCTATTCCTTAAAAGAAATATTATGTACAAAGTAATCCATCTTCGATTGACATCTTATTATGCAGAGTTTTCTTTGAATGAATGTTGTGACAATTTAATAAATATTTGAAGTGTATAAAGAAAAGGTTTTCATAGTGATGTACAGATTTACACACAGCTATCAAAGTATATTAGTAAGACTTTACAGCAGCCAAGAAATTGACAATGAAAATATTGTATTAGTAGAAACAGGCAGGTAGGTAACATATCCAATAGCTGCTGCTAGAATAATTGTGTTGTCACAGTGAATAATCACACTAGAAGAGTTTTCTAGTCTATCATCAGATACCCTGAGGTGGTGAAGAAACTCCTTATTCCCCTCTATTGGCTTTGGCTAATCCACTACCCACTTACCTTCCTTTCCTTCCACCTACTCTTATCCATAATGTCTTCTACCATTGGGCCTGCATTGCCAACTGTGTGGAACTATCTCCATTTCTTACTACACCAAATGTGAATTTGCTCCATTCACATCTCTCAAAATTAAGTTCTATTGTGATTACGTGACAACCTAAAGTGGGAAATTATGTAATATCAAAAAAGTAAAGAAAACATCCTTTCTGAAGCTGGACCTTGCCTGATCCATTCATGCATTAGGCATCTGAATTGTACTGTGTTACATGAACTGTAAATCCTTTCTGAGATACAGGTTCTCCTATGCATGGTACACCTTGTTATTTATACTTGGAAATGATATTAAATGTCTATGAGAAAGAAGTGCCAAAACAGAACTGGCACATCCATAAACATCTATACCTAAGGCTTGTGTACAGATTATGCTACAGCAGCACAGCTGCTTCACTGTGGCATTTAGTGAAGACATCATCTGTGCCAATGGGAGAGTTTCCCCACCTCCTTGAGGGAGGGTAGCTGTGTAGACAGGAGCAACCCTCCTGTTGACATAGTGTCACATACATTGGAGGCTAGGTTGATAGAACTACATTGCTCAGGGGTAAGATTTTCCACGCATCTGAGCAATGTAAATTTGTAGAATAGACCAGTGCCTGGTAATATAACTGGATTTAAGAATCAGCCACTACTGCTTCAATTTTAAATCTGCTATTACACAAGTTTGTTACTAGGATATTAAAGGTGTAATCCAGTTCTTTTATTACACTTTATTTTTAAAGATTATTACTCTAGAAAGTCAATGCTAGTAATATTTCACACAATAACATTGCTTGTTTTATTATTTGCTGAAAGTAAATATTTGGTATCTGACATGCAAATATAAAACTTTACTAATTAAACCAAAATTATTTTTTCTTTCTAATTAAAAGGTGTTAAATCTTCATCAATGTCTACAGGTTTTTCAGCCTGGTCACTGTCCTCTCTCAATGCTAAAATACTCGTGTTATGAATATGTAAACAGCTGCAATTAGAGACTATCAGTGACAGTTCAGTATCTGATTATATCAGACTATTTTTGATTATACTAAGAATGTGTCCTTGTTTGATCAGAATACTCACAAATTTAATTATCTGTCTGATTTATAAGGAAATAAGGAAACTGATGACATCATTAGCACACAACAATTCTTTTCTTGGGGTAAATGAGCCACAAGGGAACTGGATAATTGCTTTGTGAAGTATATGATATGATTATTGCTTAATTAACTGTAATCTTTCATTTTAATGTCTATTAGGGATTTCTGGTTCACAGAAAGGCAGCGCGCCCAGTTTACAAAACTAACAGTGTGAATTTCTTCATATCATTTGGGATTATAGCTGAGAGAGAGATTTCCTTGAAAATAAACTAATTCTATAAATATTTAGGTTATCTGAATGCAGCTCACTGTTTGAATGGCTATCTAACTGTGTAGCAATAATTAGTTTTAAGCTCTCTGAAGTGTCAAAAAAAATGTTATGTTGATACAACCTAACTTTCATTGACTTACCTGCAAAATAATTCAACTTTGGATCAGGCCCATATTTAGATAACTGGACATACTTAACTATCTTAAATTTTGTTAGAAGATTGCTCCACACAGAATAATGGAAATCACATGATCTTTGCCCATTAAGACTTATGTCTATATAGATACAATGTCTTGAAAATTAGAAATCCATTAATACATCTTAAATAGTTTAAAACTAAACAAATCATGATGTGTGACAAAGCTTCTCCCTCTCTCTCAGATGTACGGTACTGCTAGAAGATTTACCTGGCATTGCTGTCCTTAATTTTTGTTTTTTTGGAAAATAAAATGATCGGGCTGGAGATGAAGATTTCATATGCAACCCCTCTCCATCGCTGCTGCAGCTCCAGTGGGCACAGATGGACAGATGGAGGAGGGGTGCATGTCCCCCAGTTGAGGCAGGTCCAGGTTAGTCTGCTCTCTGAGCTCCCCACCTAGCATCAGGAATGCAGCAAACTGTGCACTTTTCCCTGGGGCGAACAGCCAACAATGATCCCATACAAATCGGGGTGGGGAGGGGGGAAACTTTGTCTGATTTTATGCATTCTTGTACGAATGTGCGGGGAGCCACTGCAGTGCCCCCCCCATGCTCTCCCCAAAAGTCGCCTGATGGGTGAGAGGCTTGGGACTGGGTCAGCACCAGACAGGGGGTGTAGGCGCCTCCCCTCCCAGCCACTCCTTTCACCTGCCTGGTGATTCTGTCTCTTTTCTATCTCATTTCCATCTGATTTAATGAGAAGCAATCCCATTTTCCTGGCACAACCAAACCCTGATCTTACCTTAAGTTATGATAATAGGAAGCTGTATATCACATTCGGGGGTCCTAGCTTTTACCATTTAGGGAGTCCTTGAACAGACAGATAAACTCTGTCAAATATATACTAGATAACATGACAATTTAACTTCTTTCTTCTGATTTATATTCATTAGACCAGTTTTGGTGATTGGTGTGAATTTGCAATGCAGAATTAACCACAATATGTTATACACAAGGACCACTTCCTCCTTTTGAGGCACTTCCCTTCTCCTGCATCCATTCATAGTATACATGCTTTATCCAAACATTTCCTGCTATTTAACATTAATCTTTATTTAGTTAATATTACAGAAATAATATATCACATGGAATATCATTCCATATGTTACTATTTTTGCAATATTAAAATATAGTTCAAATGTCAAAGGTATTTCCTTACTGATGTTCTCCTGTGTGTTTAACCAAACTCAAAGTTAACAATGAAATAATGTGAGTTGTTATGTATCAGTATCAGGGTGTATTAAAATAAATGATTTAGAATGTCTAATTTAAATTGAATTTAAGTTTTTCTTAAATAAAACTTCAAAAATTAAACTGAAATAACACTATGAAAAGGCCTAAACTATAATTATTAAAATAATGTATATCAAGTAATTTATATTCAAGTAATACATGTTTTCTGCTAGAATAGTAATAGAGATGTAGCTGTGTTAGTCTGGTCTAGCTGAAACAAAAGACAGGACTATGTAGCACTTTAAAGACTAACAAGACGGTTTATTAGGTGATGAGCTTTCGTGGGCCAGACCCACTTCCTCAGATCAAATAGTGGAAGAATATTGGCATGACCATAAATACCAAAGGGATACAATCAAAAAAGTGAACACGTATAAAAAGGACAAATAAAATTTCAGAACAGAGGGGTGATGAGGGGGGATGTTAATGTCTGTGAGCTAATGATATTAGAGGTGATAATTGGGGAAGCTATCTTTGTAATGGGTAAGATAATTAGCTTCTTTGTTGAGACCCACTGATCATTGGCTAAGCACCTGAAACTAGAATTTAAGAACTGAAATAACTTTAGACACTAGTAGCCTCTTCTGCAGATGCAGAGAGAATATTTTCTTCCTCTTAGTTTATTCGGCTAATTCAATTAAATTATAAATTTATTCAAAGCTAAAGAAATTAATTGTTTACCTGGAACAAAAGCTTGTTTTCATTGTCTGTTAACAGAAACATAGTGTGAGGATGAGATGAACTAGTTCTAAAAATCTTGAAACATTTCAATTCACTAACCACAACTACTTATCTTGTCTGATGTTTTGGCAGTTGGTGGGTAGTGGTGGTCCAGGAATCAGGGCAGGGCCATGGGGATATGGACAGCAGCACAGGATGCTGAGGGTGTGGGGTGCGTGTGTGTGAGTAAGAGTGAGGTTGGGGGGTGAGGAGGGTCTCAGGGCAGAGAAGTCTCATTTGGCAGGAACCTTTTGTCTCTCCCCCCATAATGCTGTAGCCAAGAGTCAAGGGGGTAGAAAGAGTTTGGGGCAGGAGGCTACTTACCTGGTCTGGTGACAGGCAAAATGGTGGAGCCAGAGTCCTGCTGGTCACTTTCAGTATTGCATCCCACCTCTCTGTGCCCCTCCCTTTCCATGTTATGGAAAACAGTCCGATTCCTGGCATCTCCCATTTTCTTGGCACAACAAAACCCTGACCTTGCTTTAAGTTAGAATAAGAGGAAGCTGCATAGCAAATTTGGTGGTTCTAAGCTCTTATTTAGGAGTTCTAGAACAAATAAATTCAGATGGACAGATAATTGCATATTTCTAAAAGATATACAGGCAGTCCCCGGGTTACATGGATCCGACTTACATCGGATCCCTACTTACAAACAGGGTGAGGCAACCCCGCACTAGCTGCTTCCCCCCAGCAGACCAGGGAGACGCCCAGCAGACCAGGGAGACGTGGAGCGGCTTTTCTCAGCAGACACCTCAGCTTGAGAATAAAGGACTGAGGGAAGTGAGGTGTGGGAGAATAAAACTGAGCTCTGGAGAAATGTTTGGCTAGAGTTTCCCCTACAGTATGTACTAGTTCCGACTTACATACAAATTCAACTTAAGAACAAACCTACAGTCCCTATCTTGTACGTAACCCGGGGACTGCCTGTAGATAGATGTAGTACATCTCATAAGAATATAAGCATATTAAGCAAGGCAGAATTTGAGATTTACAGATGAACAGTGAACTATTAACTGCAGTCTGCTTCTATAATTGAGGACAATTTTAATGTGAGTCTACTAATCTGTCATGTAAGTAATATTTTAAGACATGCCTTTAATGAAAATATTATAATTAAATATATGTAAAAAGTACCAACATACAAGAAATTATGTCAATGATAAATAACTTCTCAGAACTGCTTAGATACATCTGAGATGCACTCTTCCCTTTTTGCTACTTGTTTCTTATTTTATGAAAATGTAAGATGTGCATTTCAGCAAATGAAAATCTTTTAAACTTTGAGTTATTCGATCTATAATCCCCATTCAAGATTTTTTTTTAAATCTACAAATAGTAAAATACAATTTAATTTAAGTGTTTAACATCTTGCCAGAAATTTTTCACAGTTAATGTTTTACAACAACAAGAAAATGTAAATGTATTAAATGCAGATTTACTCACAGGCTTCGAAGAAACTGTTTGATTCTTGCCCTGCAGTTTCTATCTATGGCTGTGTACTCTGCTTTCAGATGCTTTGACAATACTATTGCACTGCTAGCTGTAAAGTACAGTAGTGCAATAAAGTCAGAGCATTCGTTAGCAGCAAGATGTAAGAAAGGTAAGTGGAAATAATTTTAATTAAAAGAATAACCTATATCAGCTTGAATAAGAATATTGAACAAGAAGAACGTTTTTATGCAGTAGGCGATACCTTTTGAAACAAGGGAAACCAGAATCCTGAACATCTAGGCAACACCATTTATATATACACTTTTAATTAAAAATAAGCTGCAGTTACTTGCAGGTGTCTTGAGGGTTATGGAGATTAGGCTAAGAGTGATGTTAATCAAACCTACTAGAAACAAAGGGATACAGAAATGTTTAACACATTGTGGAATGTCTTGAGTCACTTGACCAAGGGAAAGTGATAAAGACACCAAAAATCAGTTGTGAATCCAGTTAAGAATGTTGTGCTCTTGCCTGACAGTCACATTTCTGACTACATCTCTTTCAGGTGCATTATGCAGCTGAACAAAATGAGATGCCATAGGACAGATTCTCCAACTGGGTTCCATGGACTACTGGTGACCCAGTGAATTTTTATTTCTAGATGCTAAAATTACTTTAAAACAATTAGTTTCCTAATATTTTCTAGCCAATGCTGTGGCTATTACAGCAATGATACATGATCAAAATGAGAGAGGGAGCAACAGGATTGTGAATTAGGGGAGAGGTGTCCAAAAGGAAGTTTGCTTATTAAAATCTGGTCTACAATATGAAAAACAAAAACTTCAGAACCTCTAGGGCTAGATAATTCAATTGGCCATCTCCACTTCTGTGTCCTAAGATTCTTAACAGCAAGATTAAGACAAATGAAGGAACAGAGTGAAGGTTATTCCTGAGGGAATTCTATACCATTGCACATATTTCATATGTTGTGCATATTTTCTTTTGGAAAGTAGCTATTGCTGAAAAGTTGCTACAGTTCTGCCTTTTGTCCACTAGATGACACTAGAACACAGTATTCACTCTTGGCCAGCCCCAGTTATCATAGATAAAGAGCATGCCTTCTTCGCTGTGCCTGCTGGGCCAGGTCAGGAGAGAAGGGTTATGGAGAGGGTGTCAGACAGAGGCTTAAGGGCTAATGGGGGGGGGGGAACAGACTGAGGCAGGGGCTGAACGGGAGTGGAACCATGGGGCCAGATAGGGTACATCTGCCCCCCAAGTGAATAACAAGCTAAGGGGTCAGTCAGGGTCTTCATGGGGGCTATTCCCAAACAATCCCTCCCTCAAAAATTTCCCCCCACCTATACCCAACAAGAATATTTCAAATTTATACCCAAACTCCTTTCCTGCAATTACTTCCCTCTTCCTCAGCCTCAATTTCCCCTGCCTCTCTCAAGCTTTTGCACTGCTTCTGAGAGGTATGAGTAATCTGGTTCTATACCATAGTTTAAATGAATTATTACATGTATTAATAGGCCTTGTAAGAAATCTATTTGTCAAAAACATTTCCTGAATCTTTTTGTTGTCAGTATTGTTACATACATACTTGCTGACAGATATTTTGAAATAAATTACCAAACATAGTTGAAACTGGTGTAATTGTATTGTTATTTTTACAAATAAAATAACCAGAATTTTTAAAAATAGTGTGCGCAGAATTTAGTTCCTCCAGGAGTAGAAGTTGCATTAAACCCCTATGGCTGCACCCTGAGCCAGCTCTATAACTGTGACATCTTTACATTGTTTTCCTAGAGAAACCAGCATGATGATGTTCCTTTGTTTGTATGTGGAACATATTCCTTGTGCCACATGATCATAGTCCTGATGAAGACAGCAAGTGGGAAAAATGAGGAAATGACAATCCTACTTCATGGTTATTGTAAGTCTTCCAGACAGACTAGACATATATACTCTGACCTTTGAACTGTGATTCCATAAAAATATTACTAACGTGGACAGTATCACTGGCCAATGCCCTTTTAACATTGCACTGCTTTTTGTGCATGATCACTAGTAGTACAACATAAAAAGGGCACTCGACAGACACCACTCATCATGAAGTAAAAGGTAGGTAGGTCCAACATACTAAAAATACAATCAAATCAAAGGAACAAGACTGCTCTTAAACAATCATTTTAAATGTATCTAGCAATTCTGCTTTTACAATAAAGTATTGCATATTGAATGCATTTTATGCTTCCTCCAACATTTGAAGATCTGAACCTTAAAATACTTAGTAAAGAAAAACATCTGTTTAATCCATCCACCACCCTATGTTGTATAGTTTTCTCATTATGGCCTGATCCAATGCCCACGGACGTTAACAAAAAGGCTCCCAATTGAGTTCAATGGGCACTGGATACAACTTTGCACTTTTTACATAATGAATTTTACCACATTAAGGATCCTCTAACTCATGCATCAGATGAAGGGGGTCTTTGCCCATGAAAGCTCACTCTTTTCTTATTGTAATTTGGTCATTTTTTCAAATATATGCAAACTAGCTTCTAAGCTGGCTACAGTAGTCAGTTTTATCATTCACATTGCTACTAATACAATTAGTTCTTTTTAAGTTTTCCTACAAAACTATAGTCTATATTCTGTTCCTCTAGAAAAACTTTTAGTCTCATTAAGCACATACTGAAACTGAGGAAGTGTAAAGTACTATTTTATCACGCTTGTATAGAAAGAGCAGATGACTTCATAGAAAGAACAGGAAGAACAAACAAGCTAAAGGATAAACACACAGAAATGCAACACTCTGTACCAGGATCAGTTAAAGACACAAATTCTCATTAATTTAGTGCTAACAGAGCTAGACACACTCTTTTGAAAACCTGGCTAAACTTGTATGCAAGAAATTAAAAAGTTTTAAGAACCCAAAGTTCTACCATTTTAAGTGTAAAGTGTGGTTTAAAAAACAAACATAAAAAAGCATGGTTCAAAAACTGGAAGTTAAATCCTAGTGAGAAAAATAGAAAGGAGCATAAACTCAGTCAAATGAAGTGTAAAAATATAATTAGGAAGGCTAAAAAGGAATTTGAAAAACAGCTAGCCAAAGCACTCAAAAATAGCAGCACAATTTTTTAAAGTACATCAGAAGCAGGAAGCCTGCTATACAACCAGAGCCACTGGACAATGGAGATGCTAAAGGAGCACTAAAAGACAATAAGGTCATTGCAGAGAAACTAGATGAATTCTTTGCATTAGACTTCACAGCTGAGGATTAGTGTGAGATTTCCAAACCTGAGCCATTCTTTTTTGGTGAAAAATCTGAGGAACTGTCCCATATAGACATGTAATTAGAGGAGGTTTTGGAACAAACTTATAAACTAAACAGTAATAAGTCACCAGGACCAGATGGCATTCACCCAGGAGTTCTGAACAAACGTAAATGTTACATTGCAGAACTACTAACTGTGGTTTGTAATCTATCCTTTAAATCATCTTTTGTACCAAATGACTGGAGGATAGCTAATGCAAAGCCAATTTTTAAAAATGTCTCTAGAGGTATCACAGCAATTATGGGCTGGTAAAATCTAACTTTACCAGACAACGTAGTTGAAACTATAGTAAAGAACAGAATTGTTGTGGGGAAAAGTCAACATGGTTTCTGTAAAGGAAAATCACGTTTCACCAATCTACTGGAATTCTTTGAGAGGGTCAACAAATATGTGGACAAGGGAGATCCAATGGATAGAGTGTACAGTGTATATATTTTAAAGGAAGATAATATTAACATATGGCAGGGTTTAAAAAAAAGCAGTAGAAGAGACAGGTACATCTCAAAACAAAACATATGGATATCACATTTAAAATCAATACTGAATGTCAGAGATTTGAGAAGAATTTGAACATGTCATTCAATTCAAACACAGTATAGTACTACCACTACAACCATTATTTGAATATGACATCACTTTAGTAGATACTAGATGACAGGAAACTGTAGAAGTGTAGTTACCATATTCCAGAGCATGACTTGGAATATAAAAGCAAGCTCCTCCCTCCAAAGGCAGTTTAAAATGTATTATTCAAATATGCAGTGAAGTTAAGATTTAGGTAGAATACATATTTAATTCAGCCACCTTTTAACTCTGTAGAATTAGATTCAGGTATTTTCTAATACACGTGATCCTACAGTTTTTTTCCCCCAATGATAATCTGATGTTGTCATAAAACCATTACATGTTACAGTGCTACTCAGAAGAATTTTTGGACTGGAATAAGAAGGTATTGTGGGTCACTCAATAAGATAACAGAGGCACACTAGAAGAACAAGCTTATCCATTTGGCTGAATGCCTTGCCAGTTTATTTTCAGACAACAAATGTTTCATTTGATCATAGCTGTTAATATGTTAAAGAAACAAATTGATAGCGGAAGTTAAACATGAATGGATGGGACACTTATGAAACTGAGAGAAGTAATTAAATGAAATAAAAAGGGCTAGTAGTGCTTTACTTTGGCACTTATGAAAGTAAAGGGCTTAAAAGCACTGACCACATTCATAGATATAAACACAAATATTTTCCCACAAAGCCCTGCCATTCTACTTCCTAGTTCTGAGTTTCTCTTGAGAAGCTTTTCACTCTGGCTGTGTCTACACTGGCATGAATGTCCGGAAATGCTTAAAACAGAATAGTTTTCGTTATAAGTATTTCCGGAAAAAGAGCATCTACATTGGCAGGATGCTTTTCCGGAAAAGCCCTTTTTCCGGAAAAGCATCTGTGGCCAATGTAGACGCGCTTTTCTGGAAAAGAGCCCCGATCATCATTTTCGCGATCGGGGCTTTTTTCCAGAAAAGACTACTGGGCTGTCTACACTGGCCCTTTTCCGGAACAGTGTTCCGGAATAAGGACTTATGCCCGAGCGGGAGCAGAATAGTTTTTTCCGGAATAGTGGCTGATTTTGTACAGTAGAGCATCGTTGCTTTTCCGGAAATTCAAGGGCCAGCGAAGACAGCTCGCAGCTTATTCCAGAAAAGCGGCTGATTTTCCGGAATAAGTGGCCCAGTGTAGACAAAGTCTCTGATTTTAAATGTATAAGACCAGGAGAATACAAAACTCATTTTCACTTTCCATCTAAATAAAGTTTCAATCCCATGTTTCCAGATATTAAAAGCCAAACTACTAATCTACTGCAATATCCAACTCCCTGTATTTGATAACCTAGGTGAGATCTCTGTGGAACTATCAATGATCTGTTAGACAGTATGGCTACCTCTACACTGCAGGCTTTTTGAACAAGAACAATTGTTCTTGCGCAAAAACTTGCAGAGCGTCTACACTGCACATGCGTTCTTGCGCAAGTAAATTTACAGTACAGCGTTCGAAAACAGGGCTTCTTCCAGAAGAGTTATTCCTCTCCCCATGAGGAATAAGCCTTCTTGCACAAGAGCTCTTCCACAAGAAAGCAGTGTAGACAGGCAATATGAATTTCTTGAGCAAGAAACCCCTATGGCTAAAAGGCCATCAGAGCTTTTTTTTGCAAGAGAGCGTCCACACTGCCGTGGACGCCCTTGTGCAAAAGCACATGACAGTGTGGACGTGCTCTTGTGGAAGATCTTTTGCACAAGAACTCTTGTGCAAAACAGTTCTTGGAAACTGTTCCGCAGGAATTTGCATATCCTCTTTCGACACTTTAGTGTAGTCTAGATAAGCCCTAGGGATATGAATGGTTAACCGGTAAGCCTCACCTTTAATGGGCTGCAGCAGAGGGGCCATTCCAGCTCAACCCTTTAACACAGTGTTTCCCAATTTTATTTGGCCACAGAACCCTTCTGAACTCGAAAGAATTTAGTGGGACCTCTGACTGACTGTGCACACAGCACTGAGTAGTGACATCATCGTCCCCACTCTCTGGCTAAAATGGCATTACACAGGGACACTTACTGTGGCAAACACAAATGAAAATTGTTTTCAATAAAATTAATAAAATGAATGAAAATTCCATTCTATTACAATAATTCAGGTTGCAATGGAATTTTCTCACGGAACACTTCTTTTAATTTTGTGGAACCCCGGGATTCCGCAGAACACCATTGGGAAACACAACTTTAACAGGTTAATCAATTAATAGGATTTTACATCACTATTAGACAGGTTACCAAAACATACAAAATTATTAGGACAAATAGGTAATCAGCAAATTATTTGGAAGTTCACTGACAAATAACAGCAAGAAATTATATATAGAGATACTTTGCTGAATCACATTTCACTGTGTGTAATTATCATAAAAAAGCCTATACAATGTATGTTTATGATACAATGTAAAAAAAATAATATCCATAATAAATTAGAATACACAGACCATTCCCAAACATCTCCAGCCAGGTTAACAGAGAAAATTATAAACAAATGTGCCTATAATAACCATCCCAATAGCTATTTATATAAATTAACAAAAACTCTAGAAACAAAAAAATAGCTTAGCCTTTGAGATACCTCTTGTAGGATTCCACAGAAGGGATCTGGTGCTTATGAAGGGGAAGTCCTTTCTACAACCTAACTGCACAGTGAAAGTGACTTGTGTTGAAGCACAGCTATTAAACATGACTGGAGGCAGGAAAAAAGGCAACCATGTTACATAACATGACTTGTCCTGCCTGGGGAGTCTGTATCAAACAATGCCAAAATTAAGTTAAAAGATTTAGGGACTAGAATGACTGAAGTATGTATCATCCTTCCCCTATTAAGGTGAGCATACCATACCAGACTAGGTAAGAAGATTGATTTCTTTGCCAGACTGAAAAGGCCCATGAAAGATCTCCACCAGCATAATCAGTGGAGAATAGGCAACAGGAGCTCTACCCCAAAATAGAATATCCCTAATTTTGACCTCTCATCCTTCAAAGTAAGTGGAAACCAGCCCAAGTGAGTTCTTCGCCCCTCAACCAGAATGGATCAACTTCGGCACAGCTCTGTCCTTTTTCCCCTATACAAGAATGGCCATGTTTGACAGAAGAAGTGGCCTTGATTAAATCTGCTCCAGTTTCCCCCCAGCCTATCTTCAAGATAAAGAGGAAAGTGGATCAGTCTAGTGGCCCTGCTCCATCAGCGAATAGGATGAGAGGCAAAAGGAACACACAGAAAAATTCTGCTCCATGATAGGGATGTAAGAGAGTAATTGTTTAAATTGGTAACCAATAAGCATTAATTTATCGGTTACCGAAATGGTTACATGCCAACACCCGGGTCCATCTCCCGGGGATCCGACTGCCACCCCATACTGCAGCCTTTGTATGAGAGTCTGCAGTGCAGGGCAGTAGCTGAATCTCTGGGAGTGGAGGCCAGCACACACTGGTAGCCAGCCATACTCCAGGGGAGCCAGCATGTAACTGTGTAACCTCTAAAATTTTTAGTGGCTACATGGTTACAAGAATAGCATCCCTTCCCCCTCTCCGCCCCCCTGCAAAAAGAAGCAAATATAAAGATTCTCCAGCACACCTGTGCCACGATAATTAGTTTTCTGCATATAAAAGCTAGGGCCTGCATTAGGGGGGTAGCAAACAAGGCAATGGCTGAGGCCTCATGCGATGGGGGCCTGCTCAGGCTTCAGCCCCAGTTGGCAGGGGTCAAGGCCCTGGACTTCAGCCCCATGAGATGGGCAGAGATCTCTGTAAGCTGTGTGCTTGGGAGACCACCCAGGAGGGATCCCAATGCCGAACCAGCTGACTGGCAGCGCGCCCCCAGGAGCTGTGCCTGCCGGTGGTGCACGTCCACACACGGTGGACTACAAAACGTATCCTGCGCATGGATGGAAAAATTTAGCGGGAACAGCGGCGATGGGGCTTCAGCTTCCTGCCCTGGGCCGCACCGAGTCTGTTGCTGGCCCTGCCTGGCGAACCCGCCTGAAACCTCTTTGCAGCCTCCTGGGTTGAGAGGCGCCCCAGCCTGCGAGGAAAATGGGCCAGTCCGGGCAGCTTCTGCTTCACCCCACCCCCCCCTCCTCACCAGCCCGGGAGAAAAATGGACCGACCCGGGCCAGCGCTCCACAACCCCGCCCCCCACTCCAGTGAATGGAGCGGCCCGCCAAGCACTACCGCGGTCCCTTTCCAGGGTGAAACCAAAGCGCACAGACCCAGGCGGATCTGCCCTCCCCCCTTCTCGAAAGCGAATGGACCGGCCCAACGGGCGAGAGGAACACCCTTTCGCGTCCCGCTTCGATCCCCATCTGTCCCCCCGAGTCGGGATGGGAACGGCCGCTTACCTCCAGCGCCCCGGGGGGGACGGCCCCGCTCCGGGCCTGGTCCCTCCGCCCCCTGGACTCACCATGGTCTCAAGCTTGGTAACCGCCGTCTCCATGTTGAATAGTTGACATTCCTCAGGCGGCGAGCTAGCCGCCCCCTTTTCCACGGGACGGGAAAGCCGGGGGTCGCCATTGGGCAGCTGTCACTCACCGCTTCATTGTGATTGGCTTGCCACTGTCACATACTCGCGCCCATTGGGCAGAGAAACAGCTAAACTCTGTTAATGACACGGATACTGTGGTTGGTTGGAAGAGAAGTTGAACCCTTTGATTGGTTAGTAAAGGAGAGCTGCGAATTATGACTGGCTGCGAGTGGACTCCAATTGTGATTGGCTGATATAGGAGGTACAGTAGGTAATAGGATAGAAGGGTTTTCACTGTTTTGTGATTGGTCTGTCTCAGGGGAGGGCGGAGAAAATATGCCTCTTTTTCGTTTATCTTGTCCAGCGCTCTCTTATTGGCGTCTTCCCCCTCCCAACGTTTAATCTGATTGGTCATTTCTAAACCAGACACTAGCAAACTGATTGGTTGGACCGAAACCTTTCCAACCAATCGCGCGGCTATTGTCTTTCGTTGTGTCGCAGGATGCGCGGATAGCAAATGAGAGCTATGCCGGCATTGGGCCTTTTTCCCCTCTTCCTCCCTCTCTTGTTCACGTCCGGCGTGGACTGGCTGGGCCTGAATTCCCTGCACCAATCAGGGCCCGGATAGCTCTGGCTGGTGTCGGCGTCAGTGGGAGGCAGAAGAGAGCGAGGCTGCGATTGGATGAGAGTGGTTGGGCTAGCGATTTTGAATTTCAGGGACGTTGCCCGGATGGATGGGCAGGTAAGTAAGCCAAGGAGGGGGTGAGACTTGCAACCACCTCCCCCACCCGGGGCACAGGGGGCGGTGTGGCTGGGGCAGCACCACTGGGGGGGGCTGAGCGGGGGGAGGGGCATGGGTGGGTAGAGAAGGGGGTTCAGAAGATCTCTTGGCACTGGAAAAAGTTCAGACAAGGGCAACACAAGCGATGAGGCTGCTCTATGGGGAGAGGTTAAAACGCCTGGGACTTTTCAGCTCAGAAGAGAGGCGGGGGATATGGTAGCAGTCTATAAAATCATGACAGGTATGGAGAGTAAGGCAAAAACACGCACTTGTTCCCATCACTTAAGAGCCGTAGGCCACCAGATTAAAATGAGCAGGTATCAATAGGGTTGCCAGGCATCCGGTTTTGAACCGGACAGTCCAGTATTTGAGCTTTCTGCTCAGGAAATAAATTACGAAAATATAAATGCCCAGTATTTTCTAAATAAGATGTAATGTAGATTGTGATGTAATGTCAATTGTGTCCGGTATTTTTTTTTTTTTTTTAACCATCTGGCAACCCTAGGTATAAAGCAAACAAAAGGAAGTTTGTCTTCATGAAGCACATCGTCAACCTGGGAAGTCTTTGCCTGAGGATGTTGTGAAGATCAGGACTTTAAGAGGGTTCAGAAAAGAAGTAGATAAATTTATGGAGGACAGATTCATCGAAGGCTGTAAGCCAGGATGGGTAGGAATGATGTCCCTAGACTCTGTTTGTCAGAGGCTGGGAATGGATGACGGGAGGGCTCACTTAATGATTACCTGTTCTGCTTGCTCTCTGTGGGGCACCTGGCATTGACCACTGTTGGAAGACAGGATACTAGACTAGATGGACCTTTCGTCTGTCCTAGTACGGTCATATTTATGTTCATGCCCTGCTAGGCTGGTGGGTACCCTGCCACAGGCAGGCAGTACAGTTTGGGAACCTAGTTATCTGTTAAAGAATGAGGCAACCTGCAGAACTCCTTGCCAGAGGAAGACCAGGACTTTAAGAGGGTTCAAAAAAGAAGTAGATAAATTAATGAAGGATAGACCCATCAATGGCACCTTAAACACTAACAAATTTATTTGGGCATAAGCTTTTGTGGGCTGGAATCCACTTCAGCAGATGCATAGGAGTGGAAATGACAGAGACAGACATGAATATACCAGCTCATGAAAAGAAGAGGCCAGTACTAACTAGGCCTACCCCCAAAGTGGATGTGACCCACTCCCAATAGTGAATGAAGTGTGAATATCGAAAGTTGCTTTTGAAGTGGGCCAGCCATTCCCAGTATGTATTCAAATCCAGATTAAGAGTGTACTAGTTCTCAAGTGCTCAAAGGCCCTGCTGTGCTAGGTGCTGCAGATAGGGTTACCAGGTAGCTTCAGAAAAAATACCGGACACACTTGATTGCGGGGGAGAAGGAGGAGAAGGGACCTGCCCGGAGGGGAATGGGGCTGGCTGGAAGGGGGTGGGAGGGGAGACGGGAAGCAGGGCTGGCGGGGAGGGGGGCGGG